TTTTAACATCTCAGAAAACAAAACTGCAGCCCTGATTTACAGAATCTCTAACTCCTTTGCTTATGTTAATTTTAAGAAAAATTGTCCTTAATGCATGTTCTGCTCTTAGAAGCAGGACCAACAGTTCATGACCTGTATCTTGTAAACTTTATTTATTTATGAAAGCCATCTTAATAAAGACAGCTACCATAGGTAAGTTCATCTATTCTGAACTTTCTAATATGAAAAATTTATATCATGAAGTATATATGCTAATACATGCTGGAAGAGAACTGATAAATCATCTGCTGAAAAAAATACATGAGATTCCAGAGCCAAAGAGAGCTTACACTGATGGCCAGGGGTATTAGCAATTGTTCTGAATATTTTTTTTCCTCTAGGCACTTAATGATGTCATGTTGAAAACTGATGTTTCTGTTACACAGAGAGAAGACCCTTCATAAGGTTTTTCTATGAAAGATATTTCATTGTTGTAGTAAACAAGTCTATTTGTTTAACACTGGTATTTAGGCCATCTGGCAAACAATCTTCCATAGAAAAACTTAAAAAATTAAACATCCATTTTCATGGCCTTTTTTTATAATTATTATAGGATTTTGATGATTAACTGCTTTATTCTTCAAAAGTACAAAACTAAATACTGAACATCAATCATGTGTTAGGCACTGTGCTCTGCACAGATTGTTTAGTTTAATCCTCAATAATCCTTTAAGTTACATACTATTATTATTTCCATTTTACAAAGGAGAAAGCATAGATAGGCTAAGTAACTTATTCAAGGTCATAAATTCAGTCATTCATCAGACATGAATTAAGCAAATACTTGCCTGGCACTAGGATTACAGAAATGAGTAAGATACGGGCCCAGCCCCTGAGGAACTTAGTGGGAGCGACAGACATGTAAATAACAATTCACTGTGGTGTGAAAGGAACTATATACTCAAATCAAGAACCGTGGTCTGACACAGAGAAAATAACATTTGAGCCTAGAATAAGATTTCATCAGTAGAAAGAGGAAGGTTGCTTGAGAGATCATACCTGCGTGTTCAAAGACAGAGAGGCATGAAAGAGCATGGTGTATTGGGGAATGCTGAGGAGTTTGTGTGGCTGGAATGGAATGTGTGTGGAGCAGAAAGAAAAACTCTTGTTGTCCAATAGGCAAAGCTAATTCAATTAATCTTGGATTTAAATACTTTTATCATTAATTCCTTCCTTTTCTCATTTCCTTTCTTCTTTACTCTTTATATGCTTACTATTTCTACAAAATCTTTGCAGTGATTATATCAAAAAAAATACAATAAGATGATTGAATTGAAAATAGATGAGACAAGACTAATTTTCTAAGAGAAAATAGCAGAGTCAAGGGCTTGAAGAGGTGAGGAGAAAGAGAAAGAGATTTTATTCTATTAATTAGGTCAAACGTAGTGTTAGAATTAACTATCTGGTAAAGCCCTGAGATCCTAGATGATATAGGAAGAAAGATATTGAGCTACACATATAATTTAAAATTCTTATTTGTAAGTATGAAGCCCACTCTTGAGGTTGGAAAATCCCTAAGATTATGTAGAGCATTTGAAATAGACCACAACCCATGGGGAAACCCCTAAAGAAAAGTAGATCTATTTTAGAAGAACAAGGGTTTTCTGAGTTGATGTTAAAAGATTTTAATGTAATTTTTTTAGGCTGAGAGCATAACAGTTTATTTCAGAAGAAAGACAGTGTTCCTGAAAATAAAGTCTAACTAAAAGAAAATTCTAAGTTTGTCCAGAGCATATAGGGCAGTTCAGAAGAGATGCATACCTTTGCTGCAAATGAGAAAATTCCAACACATGAGACATGAGATATTTTTTCTATCAAGGAATAGCAGAACAATGATGAAACAAACATTAAGCTTTTCTAGCCCTTTCTAACAAAACAAGAACCTGCTGTAAAAGTGAGAAGGCCAAAGAAAGAAAGAGAACCACGTATAACACAACAGGTAAAGGCCTGCAGTAACAGTGCAAGTAAATGCTTGTTTCACTTGATTACCATTCAAGAACAAAGCCATTCAGGGAAACATGCTTGACTTAATGGGGCTTCGGGGGGCGGGGGGGTGGTGGTGGTGAAAATGCTATCTTATATGTGGAAATAATAATAAAACATAACATAAAGTTAGAGGCAAAGTTATTGTCTTAGTCATCTAGTGCTGCCATAACAGAAATACCACAAGTGGATGGTTTTAACGAAGAGAAGTTTATTTCCTTACAGTAAAGTAGGCTAAAAGTCCAAATTCTGGGTGTTGGCTCCAGGGGAAGGCTTTCTCTCTCTCGGCCTTCTCATCAGTGTTCCCCCAGACTAGGAGCTTCTCGGCGCAGGGACCCCGGTCCAAAGGACGAGCTCTGCTCCTGGCACTGCTTTCTTGATGGTATAAGGTCCTCCTGTCTCACTGCTCACTTCTGTCTTTTATATCTCAAGAGATTGCGTCAGGACACAATCCAGTGTTGTAGATCAGGTCCTGCCTTACTAACACAACTGCCACCCATCCTCCCTCATTAACATCATAGAGGCAGGTTTACAACATACAGGAAAATCACACAGTACCGGGAATCATGGCCTAGCCAAACTGATACACACATTTTTGGGGGGACATAATTCAAACCCTGACAATTATGAATAGAAATATATATGATGCAAAGAATTTATACCGAGGTCCTAATGCAGGCAATTTCAGGGAAGATAACAGAGATGGAAAAGAGAGAGGAAGTGAAGAGGAAGATATGAGGGATGTAGCAGATGTTATTTTTTTTTCCAAAAATGCCTACAGCAATCTTCCTATCCCGTATGATTGTGTTATAATGAGACTTTGATACTGCTCCCATTGTCCCATTGAGAGATGGGGTCTATGTATTTCCCCCTTTAATCTGGATGGGCTGGTGTCCATGGTGGAAGTGCTTTAATCTGGACAGAACTGTGACTATGGTGAAAGGAATGTCATGTGACTCCTGAGGCTAGATCATAAAAAGCAGCGCAGTTTCCATCTGGTTCTCTTGGGACACTCTGCTTTGGGGTTTTGAGCCACCGTGTAAGATGACTGAGGCTACCATGCTGTGAGGAAACCCGGGCCACATGAAGATGCCACATGCAGGTGTTTTGACTAACAGCTCCAGCTGAGGTTCCTGCTAACAGCCAGTATCAACCATTAGATGTGTGTGACTAAAGATGCTTCCAGATAATTCCTGCTTCCAGCCTTCAAGCTGAGACCTCAGACATCATGGAGAAGAGACAATTGTCCACACTGTTCCCTTTCTACATCACTGACCCACAAAATCCGTGATTGTAATAGAATGGTGGTTTTTTTAGATACCAAGTTTTGGGCAATTTTTTAGGCATCAGTAAATGACCAAAACAAGAAAAAATAACAGATCATTTTTTGTTGTTAAAATTATTGAGACTGAACATTCTTGTACCCAGTCCTTGCTTACCTACACAGTCCTTGTAGCTAGATTATGGATTCTGAATGTATTAAACTTTAGTAAGACTTACCAAACTCCCACCAGCAATGTATAAGAGTTACTTCCAACACTTAGCTTTATCATATTAATACGTTTTACCTGACAAATTTGAGAAAGTACCTCAATGTTATTATAATTTGTATAGTGATATTTAATGCAATGTATTTTTAATGCAGTATATATGAAACATCCTTAGAAAACTAGATAGATAATATACTGCTTATTCATACACGGAAATGTTATATAGCAGTTAAGACAAATGAACTAGATTTATACATATCAATATGATTAATCTCAAAAACATAACATTGAATAAGAAGCAAATTGCAATATATAGCACAATAATATGTATATCTTAAAAAGATGAATGACTACTGTATTGTTTAGTCATTCAGAAAATCTATAGAATGTCTGCCAATTTCCAGGGTCTGTTCTGGGCATTGAAGATACATTGAGAGAAAACATAAATTTAAAAATAAAGATCTTGCCCTTCCAGAGTTTACATGGTTAATAGACACCATTCATGTACAGTAAAAGAACAAAATGTGCTCAGCAATGACACCAGCTTCAGGATGGTGGTTCCATCTTGGAAGTGAGAAATGAAGAAGCCATAGGTAGACGATGGTAATTTAGGGTGTAACTTTATTTATGTCTCTTTTCTTTAAAAAAAAAAATTGATGTAAATATTGCAAACTATTAACATCTGTAAAATATCAGTGGCAATTATATATCATCTTCTGTGCTTTTCAGTTTGAAACACTTCCTAATTTAAAACAAAAAATTAAATCTATTGATAGATACTATTATAATACAGGGGCTGCTCTTCAGCTAATGGGGAAAATACCTATCTCACTAATACGCTGCATACATGGATAAAAATTTAAAATTTATCAGCATGGGTCCTGAACTGAAATAGGCAGAATGGTATATTGGGAAGAGTTTATATACGTTTTGGATCCAGATAAACCTGAATGGAAATTCCATTTCCTCCACTTCCTAGCATCAGTGGGTAAAGTACTTCATCTATGGAAGCCCAGTTTCTGTATCTGAAGACAGTTGTCATAAAACTTAAACTTATCTCTATGAGTTTTGCTTGTATCAGAGATAAAATAGACAAACAGCTAACATTCATTGAATGCCGGTATGTGAGGCACTGTTTTGAGTGCTTTGCACAGATTAATTCTATGATTCTCAAACTGTGCACTGGTGGAAAATTACAGGGAACTCAACTGGCTTGAGGATATTTTAAATGTTTGAGGAAAACATAGTGATGCCTTATATCTGTTGGACGTTGTGTGAACTTCTAGTTCAAGGTTTTTCAATTTCAACATTCGATCTTGCCATATCCTTTACAATGGTGTTATATCTTTGCAAAGCTTGGTTTTCAGCAGTTGCTGAGATAAAAGACAGATTTTTCTCAAATAAATACTACAGTTAGGACATAAATATTAAGTTGTTTGGAAATAACTACTTAATAAGTATAACTATCAGGTGTTTCTTTTGGCCTAGGGACACAGTGGAAAGAATTACTGAGAAACTAAGCGTGAACAAAGAAGGTTTGGGACTTAACCTCATTTAATCTTCTTATCAGCCAATGGAGGTAAGTCTTATTTTTAATCTCCATTTTACAGATGAGACACAGAGAGGTTTACTGTCTTATACACACAGCTAGTGAGAGTAATATGCAGGATTTGAACCTATTCAGTCTGATTTCACAGCCCACACCCACAACCAGTACACTCTTCTGTTTCCATGTGCATAACTGTGTAAACATCAGGACAGTGTCAAATATATTACATTGACGAGAACTGTCCTTAGGAGAAATATAAATTCAATGAAAATATTAGAAGTATGTGACTTCAAGCTGGAACTGGAAGGAACTTTGATAATTGTACAAGGAGAGAGCTAAGAGAGATGAACCTAAGAGACAAATACACTTAGTCACTGAAAGAGTCAGTCTCAGGAGCTATTTCTCCCTGTTTCCAGAGCTCGTATACCTGTGTATAACTGAGGAAGTTCTGCTCAGGAGTGGCCACCGAAGACAGGATATGCAGTTACTTACAATGCCACAAGAGGACGGAGAAACAAACACCTAAATTCGGAGAGCCGTGACTTGGCACGTGTTTTTGTAGCTGATAATAATCAATAGGTTAAAAGTCAGTTTTTTTTTTCCTCTGAACGCAGGGAAATTACAATGTTTATTTCAAGTACTTAGTAGAGCAACTGCTCCCATTAGGCAGTCAAGTAATTCCCATTGACGGGCTCTAATCTGAGCTATCTGTTTCCACTATCTGTAAAACACTTCCTTCCTCTGTGCTCCCACAGCAGATCATAAAATACTCTTCTTGTCTGGCTAGCCCGCCAATCTGGGGCTCATCAAGGGCAGGGCTCATATCTTTTGCCTCAGTATCTCCAATGTAAAGCACAGTACCTAATATGTAGTAGGTGTTCAAAAGATGTTTGCTAGACGAATTTATAATAAATCTTTGTTGGCAGCAAATTATATAAACAATATGACATTGTCATTCATTTAACAAGCCTAAACACACACTTGTTCAGCGTGGATGCTATTCAGTCTGGTAGATACATGCATCTTAAGATATAAGCTAGCAGCCTACAGCTTATATTAGTAGACCTTATATCAATATCAATATTTTCTGCAGAATAAATGGCCAGGAGAGCAAGTTATGAAGAATACAAAGTTCTATGCGAACTTATGATATTTTAAAGATATTTAAGGAATCTATTCTTAAGTCTTAGAAGAAGTACAGCCAGAATACTCCTTAGAAGTGAGGATGGAGAGACTTCTTCTCTCGTACTTTGGACATGTTATTAGGACTGGTCCCTGGAGAAAGACATCATGCTTGGTGAAGTATAGAGTCAGCAAAAAAGAGGAAGAGCCTCAAAGAGATGGAATGACACAGTGACTGCAACAAAGGGCTTAAACATAGCAACAATTGTGAGGATGGCACAGGACTGGGCAGTGTTTCGTTCTGTCTTACATAGGGTCACTATGAGTTGGAACCAACTTGACGGCACCTAACAACAACACTCATAAGTAGAAATACAGAGAAATTGCAGTTAAATTTATGGCACTCGCCAACTATTATTAAAAAAAACAAACAAACCATTTCTGTTGAGTCGATTCTGACTCATAGCAACCCTATAGGACAGAGTAGACCTGCCCCATAGGGTTTCCAAGGAGCAACTGGTGGATTCGAACTGCTGACCTTTTGGTTAGCAGCCAAGTTTTTAACCAGCCAAGTTTTTAACCACTATGCCACTGTGCTCTAAAATAGCATGTCATAACTCCAAGGGGAATTCTTTGTTTCTTTTGGTATACGGTATAATTACTGGTAGTCATTAGCCCTCTCCTTTAGCCTCTTAGTCATAGAATTTTGCTAGCATGATCTTACAGATGTCCTCATCTTTGCCCCTCTTCCTCAGTGCCATCGGTTCCATTCCTAGTACAGGCCTCCAACACCTCACAACTGCATAATTTTATCACCTGCCTAACTGAACACTTCAACTTCAGGCTTTGCACCGTTGAATTCTGGGCACTACTGTCAGAACAATTTTCCTCATACTCTTTGATTTCCCTGGTCTGCTGGGGCAGAGCTGACCAACTGATCACCACATCTACACCTCCTCTTTCTGGGACACAGCCAGAAGCTAGACTGCATTCCCCAGCCTCCCTTGCAGTGAGACGCGGCCAGGACACTGGATTCTAGCCAGTGGAATATGAATAGAAGTGATATGTGCTGTTTCCAAGCTTGGCCCAGGAAATCTTCCTGCATATAATGCTCTGCATTCTTGATTCTTGGCCGTACAACTTGAAGCAGATGAGTCCCAAACTGTTGAAAGCCTCAGGCTGAGGATGGCGGAGCCACAAGACCCTGGGTCTCTGAATCACTGCTTGGAGGAGAGAGGTCCCAACCAGAAACAACTGGTTCGAACTTTACGTAAGCAATAAATAAATATCTATTATGGTTAAGCAGCTGAGAGTATGGGGTTTATTTTTACCCCAATTATACATCTGCTCATTAGTCTAAAATAACTTTCTCTTTTCTACAAACTAAAACAAGAAAAGAGAGAGCTGTAAATGGAGGATGGTTTAACTGATATTCAATTTCATATCTGGTTAATCTACTTTCCACACTGTGTCCTGAGTCAGATGATCTATTTTATATCCTCCCAGAGCATAATGAAAATGCCATATCCAATGATGCAAGACAACAAACAGCTCCCTTCACACATTTCCAAGAGATGCTGGTGTACGTTTCTTCAAGACAATTTAAATGCACTCTGTGGGGGAAGAAAGTACATTTCTTTAATTCTCTTCGTTTAGGCAGAAAGACACATTTTCAGCCAAAACAATTCCTTGGTGTTAAACAGAAGATAATCAAACATTTCCAGGAATACATTGCAATGCCTTCTTGTACATCCTTTATCAGCTGTTACATCACCTTAAATACTACAAAAATCAACATTGAAAGAGTCACATGAAATTGCATCAAGGTGATGGATTCTAGGGTGCTAGGAGACAGGAACTACACCTCTCAGTGTTGCTACCATACGCAACCTTCCACAAACCCATAGATAATTCCAGGGTAACCTAAATTCTGTGCGTTACCACTGATACTGGCGTTAATGCCAGGATTGCAGTTATAGCGCGTATATGGAAAGAGCTAAGATATAAATAGCTATGACCATAAAACTTTCTGATGCTAAAACAGAAAGAATAAAGCCTAGAAAATTTCAAACAGGCAACATTGGGACACAAATACCTTAATTCAATTAAATCCAAGCTTCAGCTCTTTTGGTCTAGTCTTTGGCTCTTTGTTTCCTTAAAACTACTGACCTTCCCATATTTGGCCATGAACTACGGCTGAACTTCCACCTACTCAAAATTGCTTTTCTTTCTCTGCTTTGATGCATGGTCTAACTCCACATGTCCAATAAATGATTTCCACCACCTTCCTCTTTGGTATTTCCAACTTCTGCTTGTGCTTAGAAACTTCTGAAATACTACTATCAGATCAGATATGGCGTCTGTTGAATCAGTTATAACTAAGCCAAATGTGAAGGCTACTATCAATGGAGTAAGTGAATCAGGAAATGCTGAATGACTACTGTGTGCCTAGGACCATGTTAGACATGGTGAAGCTCTAAGACCAGTTGCTGAACTCACGGATCTTGAAATCTTGTTAGGAAGATAGACTAACAAACAAATACAAGAAAAGCAAGACTGCATAGTCATGAGCTCACTGGTGCAGCCTTGAGTTGTCATATTACTGAGGTTCAGAGGAAGAGGAATAACGGGGTTGGAAACTGTTAGAAAAGGTGTAACAGTGTGAATCAGACATAAGCTGGGTAGTGAAGAAAGGGTGGTATTCTTAAAGCATATAAGAAGTAAGAATTTTTCTGTCACTTCCCAGCCACCACTAAATATTTTCCGTTATTTTTAAACTTTAATTTATGGTTTCTAATATTGCTTTAAAAATACGGGTCTTTCCTAGTTTGGTCGACAATATCAAGCTCAAATAAGAAGTTATTAAGCCCCTAGAATGGGCCTAAACTATGGAAATTTGAACAACATCTAGAAGAATTCGAAAGTCTGGAAAACATGTTGCCTTAAAGTGAATAAAAGATGGTTCCAAGATTTGTAGCCTGGGAAGGATGATGGTAAAAGTGACAGAAACAGGATAAACAGAAAAAAAAAAATGGGAGAAAAAATAATTATTTGTTTGTGGAAAAATGGCTATTGAAGTATATCTAACTGTAGATATTTGGCAGCCGTTGGAAGCATAGATCTGGGACACATCAAGAGTTAGGACTGGTAATATCAATTTAATAGGCATATTAATTCCATTGAAGGTTTGTGCTGGATAGGTTTATTGTGATTTTAATCTCTCATTTCCTATCCTCTACCTACCTGTGTCCAATCAATTTCATCTTTTGCAATTTTAATTTTTTTCTTTTCTAAAATACTATGTTACACTTCTATAGCTATATGTGAAATGAGGGGTTAGGATCAGGGAGAAAAAGAGGCAGAGGTTTCTATTTATCTCTACTACTTTTCCAAGTATCAGAAACGTAACAGGGAGAAAAGGATGCCTTCTGAAGTACTTGAATGACAAGCCACCTGATGGATTATTGTGCAAAGAAAAGCCTATTGGTAACGTGAGCTATGTCTCTGTTAAATTGTGCCTGTGCTTGACACTTTCTGCTGCTACTGTTACACTACAGCTAGCTCAACATCCAATATTCCCCTAGGAACTATGTTAGAATCTCCTAAAAGCATTCTCTGATGATACAGTCAGCTCTGGCAAAGACATCTGAGCTTTAATCAAGTAACATATGAAGGGGAAAAAAATTTCTGGTATCCTGTTTAATAGACAAGGGTAGTATATACATCTCTTCAAATGTGCTTTAGATGACACTGAGTAGAGTTAGACAGATTTATAACAAGATGGGATAGGTATGGAGAACTCCTTAGCCCATTCTTTTATGTCTCAGTGGGGATCTTTATATAGTAAAATGTGAGGTTATGGGCTCAGTTAAATCATTTTTAGAACATAACTGTGTCATGCTATTTCAGAGCACCTCATCATTTAGAAAAAAATATTTGTTTTAATACTTGCTGATACAAATTTAATTTACTTTGGCCCTCAAGGGTTATGTTAAGTGTAATTACACAATTCTTCGTGCTTGCCCCACAAAACCTCCAATAGAAACCAATCAATCCAGATTTTCATTATTCTTCTTAACACTGAGCAGAGAAGTTCAAATTAAAAGTGATGACATCTTTCTATGAACTCACAGCTGTGTTGGATTTGTTTATCTGAGTAGGCATATGTGGTGAAAACAGTATGTCATTGTGGGGTTTCCTGAGTAGAGGGCTGTAACTCATTGTGCAGAACAAGGAGTGTGTGGTGCATTTGGAGCTTTTACCCTGTTGCGTTGTCATTTACATAATTTTGGTCATGGCTTTTTCCTTTCCAAGGTGTCAGAAGTTACTTCTTGCCTTGGTTAGTTCAAGAATAAAGCAGATTTGAGTCCACATGCCTTTTATTTCTTTTTCCCTTGCTATATATTACTAACCAGTCTCATGAAAAATTCAAAGTTGCAAATTCAGCATCTCCTATGCTTCAATCCACAACTCCTTAGAGAGTTCTTAACATTGCCACCTTACAACAAAAAAAATATATCACAAGCAGAATAACTAAAGGCACAAGCGAGTAAGCCTTAGACATTTAAAAACTGATGGCAATCTACTTTAGGATCAAACTATAAGGATGGTGGACTACGTCTAAATTTCTTCATGCTTGATCTTGTGTTGATGATAGCATAGTATAAACGACAAAGATGGTAATCCAAATTAGAACGTCCATCTTCTCTTCTCTAATCCAAACTATAATCTCTGTATCTCTATACGTCACCTTGAAGACTAAGGGGCATCTGGCCCAAGCCATGGTGTTTTTAATCGCCCCATATGCATGCAAAAGCTGGGCAATGTATAAGGTAGACCAAAGAAGATTTGATGCCTTTGAATTGTGGTGTTGGCGAAGAATATTGAATATGCCGTGGACTGCCAGAAGAACGAACAAATTTGTCTTGGAAGAAGTAAAACCAGAATGCTCCTTGGAAGCAAGGATGGAGAGACTAAGTCTCACATATTTTGG